ATTAAAGTGCACCCTCCCTGCTCCACTGCAGCATGTGTGTAAATGCCCCAAGTGCCCAAACCCCAGGTCACAAGAGCCAGCTTCAGTCATGGCCTGCATGTAGGCCCAACTAGGCAGCTTCCTTTTGCCTTGTAGCAGAATGAGACAGTCTTCACCTTTCTCCCCACCTTTCAGCTAGATGCTCGCCCATGTATTGCAACCCAAGAGGCATCTTTGCTGCTCCCACAAACATATGCCTCTGCCCATGCAGTGAGTCCTGTATGCTGCCAGAAGAGCCAGATCCCAAGGATGCATAGATCTGTCTGTACTTCACCTTGTTACCTGCGCAGTGGATGCTGGAGGCTCCATTGTACCCATTACAGGCTAAATGGGAAGAGAGAGGACCCCAACTTTGCTGTCTCTGGTTTGGCTTGCATCATTATATGACTAACCTCAAGCTGTGGGAACTTGCCCAGATGGAGCATTTCAGAGGAATTTCAGATATTTATGTTGAACAGACTAGAGACCCTCTGCCCTGACACTGTCTTACTAAGGCTTCTGCAAAACCTTGGTTCAACAAGGCCTCAGCTTCTAGCAGGTCCCCCTCCCCCTGCAATTCCCCTCCTGGGGCTAAGTTCAGCATGGCACATTCTCCTTGCAGCTTGGCCAGTGGGAATATTCTTTGAGATTGCCCTGGCAAAACTGGTATTCATAGACCTCAGCGTAAGAAACGCATCCAGCCAAGGCAAACCCTAGACATGGCAGCATTTCCCCTTTGTTACTAGCAGCAGAAAGTTTAAGGTGGCAGAGGAGCCTATACTGGTGTGTATCTCAATGAACAAATGGCACAAAGGAGGGACCTTGCCCGTTATATAATGGCAAGTGGAACGGTACCTGCAACTTTGATGTTCCCAATCCTGGTTCTGTGCAGAGGTGAATGCTGCTATACTAGTGTTTCTGGATTGCCTCCTACCTCTGATACCTGATGCTGGCTCCTTCCCAATTCTCTGTCATAGAAGCTTTTAAAATATGAACAAGTTCCACCACATTCATTCCTCAAGAGCCATTGGTGCTCCTTGTCATGGTGCTTATGCAATGCAGCAGGAAGAAACGCAAAGTAAACACCTGCTTATTAAATAGGCAGATAATACTTCTTGTCCACATATTTTGTAGAGGAGGTCAGACAGAGCTGGTCCTCAGTCCTTGGAGACAAAAGTGAAGTGGATGAAGAGGCTATTGCTTTCTGTCCCTAGAAAAGGTAATGGGTCTCTAAAAGCAGGGGCTGGAATTAGTGGGATTGAGTAAGTGGGGGAAAAGGGCTGGTGTCAAGTCCCTGCCCTGTTCTAAATGCATCACCTGATGCAGGGCAGGTGCAAATATGTCCATCCCCTTTAATTCTGGTAGAGTGAAAGATACTTATACCAGGTGTGATTACGATCTATTGAGGTTTCTGAAATTATTGGAAGAGAAGCTACAGTGTCTTTCTCCACCAGGTAAACACTTCATTTTGTGTTTAAGTGAGCAATGGCAGAAAGAGTGACAATAAAAGACTGAGTAGGGGATGGAAGGTATCAACAGCATGTGTGAGACCATTGCTAGCTACAGTATCTACACTTGCAAAGGAAATTTAAAAATTGGAAAAGGTTCAGAAAAGATCTACAAGAATGATTCAAAGTATAAGAAATGTATTTTATAGTATAATATTTCTGAAAATCTATTTAGTTTATCTAAGAGTTTGTTAATTTCTGAAAATTATTGCTGCAAACCTATTATATGACGTTTGTCTTGTGCTCTAGGGAATAGATCAGTGAGGTCCAGGTCAGTTCCTGGTGGGATGGGTAGCTATGTGGTGAAAGGCTTCTGTTACTAGTTCTACCAGTCCCAGCAGGAAAGCATAGGGCAGGGCACTTCCTTTCTGTGCTCTAGAGAAGGTAGAGGCAGGCTGTAGGGAAAGTTCACCTTGCTGCTTCATGGGTTGCCCCCATACAATAACTAACAAAGAAGTTCAATCTCCAAAGCTGTCAAAATGGCATCACATTCTAGTGTTACATCCACATAATGAGAAAAACCTAGAAATGCTGGAGGGCCACCCCAACTTAGCAAAAGTTTCTAGCCTATGAGATACTCAGGCAATCTCTGAAAGACCTCAAAAGTATAATTTAAAGCAGGGGTGGGCAATTATTTGGGGCCAAGGGCCACATAGGGAATTTTGATGAGCTTTTGGTACCTGGGTCAGCGCCTACCCCCCCCAACAACTCACCAAAGCCCCTATCAGGTTTTGGAAGCAGGGGGAACAGTGTTCAGGAGCAGGAGGCTGGGATAATGGGGCCAGGTCATGGGGTGATTACAGCTCAGGGCCATGGCCCAGGTTGAGCTGCAATCCACTCCCTGCACACCCTGCCCTATGTGGGGGAAGTGTGTGTATGGCGTGCATGTGTGGGGGGGTGATGCCTGGGCACTAGGTCCCAGGAGCCAGTCAGGGGGGAGGGGGGGAGGGGGAGGCAGGAGATACATACATCAGATCTCACCCAGGTGGTGCAGTCCGCGGCTGCCCCCATGGCACTATAAATGGGGCTGAGCCTTGCCTGGGTAGCCTGCACCGCACTCCAGCCCATGCCTGCTGGCCCAGCCCCAACCCCAACCCCAGCCCCAGCCAACATGCAGCTTCTGGCGGGGCTGTTTCTAGTGTGGCTGCAGCTAGCCAGGTGCTGCTCTGCTCCCCTCACCTCCAGTGGTGGCTCCCCCTCCCACTTCTCCCCCACTGCACTGCTCCGGACAGAGGGGGAAGCTTCAGCTGGGCAGCTCCCACTGGAGGCGAGAAGAACAGAGCGGCACTGGGAACAGCCCTGCCAGAAGCTGCACGTGCTGCTCGGGGCCCAGGCCAGCTGGCATGGGTGGGAGCATGGCATGGGCTGGTCCAGTGGGAGCCAGTGAGACTTGACCCCATGCAGAGTGTCACAGAGGCAGCTGCAGGCTGGATCCGGCCTGCCAACTAACTGGATCCAGCCCACGGGCCATGTTTTACCATCCCCTAGTTTAAAGTCTGCCTAGCTGCCTCACTGCATGTTTGTCACTGTATTTGACTGCCCTGGGTAATATTTTTGCCTGCTCTCCATTCTTTCCTCTGACCTGGCTTTACTTTTTTTGCTGTATCTGACTTTTCCAGCAGTAAGGGAGCAACTACCTTCCAGCTGACATGCAGTGCTCTTTGAACTGCACAGGTTATGAATTCTTAGCCTGGGAGTTCATGTCACATATGAACTGTACACCTGTTGCCACTGAAACCTGGAGGTCACTCTATGACAGATGTTAAATTTCCTATAAAGAACTTATTATATCCATCATCTGGCACGAGGAGGCTCAACCAGTCCCAGCTATGAACCAACTAATTTCCCCATAATATTTTACATTTGGATATTGTTGCTTCTAACAGATGAGAATTCACCCCAAGTGAGCTTCTTATAATGAACCTTCTTACAAGAAGAGATTAATTAAAAGCTTAATATTTATTGCATGCAGTTTAGGGATGTTGTCCAAATACTAACTCACAGCTGTGGTTTCTTTCCACTGTGTAATTCTGAATGGCTGAGGGCTTCTGTTTTGCATAACTGAAATATAGTATTTAACTGTAACTGTATAGTATGCAAGCCCAAACCTACTGATAGCCACTTAGAGCGTTTGGTATAATAACAGTACTGCTAATTATCAGTAACTAAAGAATGATTGCACTGATGTTGTGTTGTGATGGGCTACCATCAACCTCTCCTTTCTGATGACTGCTGTCCTCAGAAATCTTCCCCACATGCCCACCACTGCTTCTGGTCCTTCCTTGTTGGCTCCCTTTACCTGGTACAAGGCACAGCTTAATACAGATCTGAATTCCACTTGGTGGGAGGAGGTGGAGAGATCCACACTTTCCATTAGGAACCAACCACAACCAAGGAGGTATTGAGAAGAAAGGTTGAGTGAGGGTCTGGGCATGTAGGCATGGAATTTGTTGCAATTTTGTGCATCTATTGAATCTGTGCCAATTAAAAGAGAGGGAACTATTGTGGCCAATCTGAGTTCAAGGGAGAGACAATGAGGAGCCTATAATAACGCTTGGATGTTCTCTCAGGTAATCTAGACTAACCAATGCTGTTGTCACTGCTACTTGTTAGCACCCACCTTTTCTCTTTAACATAGCTGGGGAGTGCATGTGGTTGACCCAACAGAGATGTCTGAGACTCCAACCGGCAAGGAAAATCCCCCTGGAGAGTGCCCTGTGTGCTACGAAAAATTCCACGCTCTGAAGACTGCCCACCGGAAGCTGACCTGTGGACACGCCTTCTGCCATGACTGTCTGGTGAAGTACCTGCTGTCCTCCAAACCGGAGGGCCAGATCCAGAACTGCATCATCTGTCCCATCTGTCGCTATGTGACTTTCCTTTACAAGAAGAAAGACCACTGGCCTCCCCAGGATCCGGAATTGTCTCTCTCCCCCACATCTTTGCTCCATTCAGTAATATCAGGGTCAGACAACACCTTGGTGGTCCCCAGCCATTTTGTGATGCCTTTGCAGAGCTATGCAACATATCACAATAGGAGTAGCATCCTCTCAGACTCCATGAGTATGAAGGATGGCCTGTTTCAAGAGGTGCACATTTTTGTGATCAGTGATCATGGGATGCCATTGGTTGAAGATAATTGTAGCTTGGTCATTAGACGGGGCAGAGCAGAAACCCAACAGTCGGTGTCATCCAGAAGTTCTGTGGGGATAAAGTGCTACCAGTCACCCATTGTACTGGCTGTTTTCCTCATCTCTATAGTTGCCCTTTTAGCAGCAGTGCTCCCTTGGGTCTTACTGGTGAAGAGGAGCTCATGAGCAGGAGTGGGAAATCCTGAAAATATGACCCACATGGAGCAGTGTACCAAAAGCAACTTGCCACTTGCAGAAATACTCCACACTCCCAAGATGAATACCACTTCTTCTGCACAGGGCTCATCATGTTGTGACACATCCTCAGATTGTCTGCCAGAAGGAAATCCCACAGATAGCTACAATGTAAATGTATAGAGGCTTGAGAGCCAGTGGCTAGATGGGAGACATCTTCTGAAAGCCCAGCTTCTGGAAGAAATGATGCCTGTGATTCCACAGGTGTTGCTTTTCCTTTTGACTCGGGGCCAAACTCTACCCTTGTTGGGGCACATCCCTGTTTGCACTACACAAATGGCTTTGTTGGCAATGAGGCAGTTAGGAGGCACCATCTCAAAACTAAGATGAGACATGCAGGGCATGGCTGCTTGTGGTCACAGGATAAATTCCTTCATGCACTGAGTTGCAAAAGAGAATCCTACTTACTGAGAAATACTCCAGTCAGCTCCTGAGACAGGAGGCAGGGCAGCACCTTTTGTAATAGTTCCTTTTGCCTAATCTGTATTTGACACAAAATGTTGCTATACAAGTGTTCCGGGTCTTGAGTGTGAATACCTGGTCAATTAAACACATTTAGTGAAATGAGGTAGATGGAGTTTGTCTGGAATGGGTGTTTGCCCAGTGTCCTTGAGGGGGCAGAGCTCAGCTACGATGTTGGCCCATAGCGGCTCTGTGCATTAATAATGGGTAAAATGCATGGTGAGAGTTGGAGATTTTACAAACTCCGTGTTGGTTTCCAGATTACTTAAAGAGCATAACATGATTTCCCCGGAATACAAACTCTTGGCTTTTTTTCTTTCCAAAGATTGATTGTGTTTTGTTTTTTTAAAGACAGTTCTCTGCTGCGAGCCATCCTATACCACTGCTCAGAATTGCCTGTCCCACCCAGCACTGGATTGGCACAAGGGGATCCTTTTCTGCCTATTGGTGAAAGGAAACCCTCTATCCCCAAACTGGGACAAAGGGAGCTTACTTTGTTGGACAAGGCCCTGAAATAAAGAGAGTGCATGCCTGTCTCTTTGCGAGAATATCACTTCATCAGAAAGCTAAACCTAAGCTTAACTAGCATTCAGATTCAGGTAATGGTAATGCAAAAACATACTCATGCCTGGGAGGATGAGTATAAGCTGGACCCCAGGAAATCTGAACTCTTGTTCGGTTCTTCCAGCAGTTCAGGTCCATGATTCTCCACTATCCCCAGGTTTACATAATCTATATTCAATAATTTATACACAATCATTAATGACATGCATCTCTCTACAACCTGACTGGGTATATGGTAATAAAAGGAGCTGATTATGAAGACCCCCTTCTCAGCAAAATGAAGAATTAATGACAAATATTTAACAACCATTTATCAAGGATGGCCTCAGAGGTTATCAATTAGGTTTTCACTCTTAATGGTCCATTCACTAGGTAGCTCCACAGAGCCCCATGTGTTATGCTCCTTGTTGTGTGTTGGACTATAGTCACACAAACAAAGCCTCTGAAACCTGCTATCGTAAAGAACAGCACTCACTGTAAGAGTGGGCTAGTCTCAATGAGCAGAACAGAACAAGGAGCAATGGTCTCAAGTTGTAGCAAGGGAAATTTAGGTTGGATATTAGGAAAAATCTCTCTCACTAGGAGAGTGGTGAACCACTGGAATGGGTTACCTAGAGAGAGGGTAGGTAGACAAGCTTCTTTGGGTGAATATGATATCTTTTATTAGACCAACTTAAATAGTTGGAAAAAAATTTTATAGCAAGCTTTTGGGTTTAAAAACCCTTCATCAGGCTGAGAAAGTCTGTGCAGTTGGTGTGTGCTCTTCCTGGATGGAATGAAAAGTAACGACTCCAGAGGCTGGGTGGCATGCATGCAAGACGGGCACTCAGTGATGATGTAAACTGAGGAGTCAGTGGGTGAGAGACAGGCTGGGGGGGAGGGGAGGAGAAGAGGGATGAATGTACCAGTTAGATAGTGGAGAGGTACCTGGGGAGTCAGCTGTCAGGCAGGTTATAATGTGCCATAAATCCAGTGCCTATATTTAGTCCATGATTTTTTGTATCCAGGAGGCTGATGAAGTGGAGTTCATGGGCTTGTCTCTGAGAAGTGTTTTGTAAGTTTCCTTTGAGGATCAGGACTGAGAGCTTGGAGAGAGCGGTTGTCTTGTGAGGAATGTGCCCCCGCGAGTAGTTGGGTATTCTTGTCTTGGATAGATTTCTGGTGCTGGTTCATTCTGGCGCGCAGTTCTTGTTTGGTCTCTCCTACCTATTTTCCATCAGGGCATTTGGTGCACTGGGTGAAATGAGTGCTTGCCCCCCATGCAGTGTGGGGCAGTGGGGGGTAGTGGGGATTGCCCCCTGCCCAGCAGCACCCGGTGAGCACTGGGGCTTTTCTTTAAAGTACCAAGCTGGGGTGGAGGGGGGGGCAGCCATGGGGGGGCTGGGGAAGCAGGGGAGGGTCAAGGGAGCTGGCAGAAGTCCCCCCATGGTCCCCTCCCCCAGCCCCCCCTCAGTACTTACCAGCTCAGAGTCACCTGCAGCTCTCTGCTGCAGCCACTGGGGACTGCCCGAATCATCAAAGCTTTGCTGAAGATTCAGAGAGCTTTGAATTGATTCAGACCTTTAAATTGGTCCCCTGATTCAATTTGGATTTGGATCCTGTTCAGCAGGAGGGTCACAAGATTCGGCCACCGAATCAGGCCACCACCCGAAGCTTCACACAGCCCCCAGCTGTGGGGGAGCACCATGCACTGCAGTGACTGGGATCCCTATTGGCTGATGAGGCTCCCACCTGCAGAGGCACAAAAGCTCACAGCTGATCCAGGCTCCCAGCCAGGCAGCATACCATGCACTTTGGGTCCCATCAGCTGATCTTGGCTCCTCCGCCTGGGAGCTTTCTACATAGTTTGAGGCCTGGTGCAATCCCTGGAGCTGGCAGATGATCAGTTAAGTATTGGCTGGATTGGTACAATACTGAAGCTCGAACTGGCCTCAGTCTGAGCCCTGGTTAAGCTCTCAACAATGACAGATTATCAACTATCTTTGGCTGAATTGGAACTGCACCAGGGCTCCAGCTGACCCTGGAGCTGGCCAATGATCAGCTGATCATCAGCTGATATGGACCACACTAGGGTGGGTTTGTATAGGTCCTCATCCTGCCAAATGTTCAATTTAAAGTATAATGGCAAACAACCACAAAATTATTACACATATTTTGCAGAATAATGTTGTAGTTTATCACCCATTCAATTGTGCTATTACTGTATCTACCCAATCCAAGGTACCTTTGAATTTATGACTACCCCTTCAATAATTAGATTCTATACATGGAAAATAATAAATTTGTTATAATTTTCTATGTATAGAATTTAACTATTGGAGGGTCATCTTAAATTTGTCTGTCCCCCCCACCCTTTTTCTCCCCTGCTGCAGTAGAGAAAGCAGTGGTGGAGGGCAAGGGGCCAGACCCCTGTACCTTGCCCCCTCACCCCCTGCCATTTGCTCCCCCAATCCCCCCCCCATGCCTGTGTCTGCCTTCTGCCTCTTTCTCCAATTTTCCTGCCTGTGCCAGTGCCAGTGCCAGTGCCAGTGCCTGCCCCATAGCTGCCTGCCTCCCTCCTCACAGCCAGGTTGGGGCCAGAGCCAGAGCTAAAGGTAAGCAGTGTGGGAGGTAGGCAGTAGTGGGGAAAGCTGCCCCATGCTCCCTGCAAGCTACACACTGTGTGTCTCTCCCGTGCACCTCTCACCTACCATATGGTTTCCCCATATACCCTCGCCCCAAAACATGTGGTCTCCCTCACCCCGCAGCTTCACCAGCTGCCTCAGCCCCAGGCAAGCTGAGCCACCACCTACCCTGGGCCAGTACTTGAATCTAAGATGAGAGTTTTCCACCCTCATATTGACTGGGGTGAAAAACCGTGTCTTGGATTCAAGTCAATACAGTAATTGCCGGAATGTGTGGCCAGGTTACTATTTAAGACACAATTAACTGGTCAGTTGTGTCTTATGTGTAATGTCTGCCAGGGGCCCAAAGTGCCCTATCTTCTGCCTGACTTAAGACAAACACAGCTACCAACCTCTGTATTCTGCAGTTTATACATATGCCACGGATGGAGCTGGACAATTTAGGTACATCTCTTTCTGGTACTGGCACACTGCTTATACCAGGGCTCATCGCATTACAGGGAAACTTACTTTAACTATTGCCAGCTCTTTTCTGGTGACATATGTCTGTGGTGGGGGCAGGGTTTGATTTGCTATTACAGGGTTTCATGTTTGGCCTTGATTTGCCTGAACCATATCTGTCAGATGCTGAATCCAAAACACCCTCCCTATGCTGGTATACGTCAATTGCTAGGAAGGTCAGAGACCAAAGTGGGTATCTTACACCAACTGTTGATCTATTTGTTAGGAACACAGACATATCAGAAAGATGTCACAATTCCAGGTAAGTTCTCTATTATATGCTTATCTAATATAGAGCTAACTGAAAGATTTCTCCATGGTCATTGCCTTGCACAGGTAATCCAAAAACTTTGTGGAGACTGTTGGGGACAACTTCATAGTACGAGTGTTAGAGAGATTAACTAGAAGCCGTGGTCTTCTTGCTCTGGTGCTCACAAAAAGAGAAGAAGTGGTGGGGAACATAGAGCAGAGGAGTAAGGGCCCTGGACTTCAGAAAAGCAACAAAAATGGTTAGAGGGCTGGAGCACACGACTTCTGAGGAGAGGCTGAGGGAACTGGGCTTATTTAGTCTGGAGATGAGAAGACTGAAGAGAGATTTGATAGCAGCCTTCAACTACCTGCAGGCGGTTCCAGAGAGGATGGAGCTGGACTGTTCTCAGTGGTGGCAGATGACAGAACAAGGAGCAGTGGTCTCAAGTTGCAAAAATGGGAACTTTATGTTGAATATTAGGAAAAGCTCTCTTACATGGAGGGTAGTAAAGCAGTGGGGCAGGCTACCCAGAGAGGTCGTGGAGTCTCCATCCTTGGAGGTTTTTAAGACCAAGCTAGACAAAGCTTTGGCTGAGATGATCTAGTTGGGGATAGTTTCATAGTTTCTAGGGTCAGAAGGGACCTGAGCAGATCATCGAGTCCGACCCCCTGCCATGGCAGGAAAGAGTACTGGGGTCAAATGATGTTCCTGCTTTGGGCAGGGGGTTGGACTAGATCGCCTGAGGTCCCTTCCAACCCTCATTTTCTATGATTCTTTGATTCTGTGGTCATCTGTGGGCCACTGTGGCCAACCCAAGCACCCACAGGTCAGTTGGGCTGACCCGAGAACCCACAATTACTTGAACCAAAGCAAGGACCCGCAAATCAGTCAGGCCAACATGAGTAACCACAGGTCAGTTGGCCAGAACCGAACACCCACAAGTACATCAGGCCAACCTGAGCACCTGCCAGTCAGTAGGACTAACCCAAACACTTGCGCGGCATCTGGGTAGACCCAAACACTGACAGGTCAGTCAAGACAACCCGAGCCCTTGTGGGTGAGCAGACCTCAGCATCCATGGAACCATCAGGCCAAGGCAAGCACCTAAGGGTCATTTGGGCTGACCCAAACACCTGCTGGTCAGTTGGGCCAAAGCAAGCAGCTGAAAGTCAATTGAGCAGACCAGAGAACCTGTGTGCCAGCTGGGTTGATCCGAGCACCCATGGGTCACTAAGGCTGACCCAAACACCTGCAGGTCATATTATATACTATAGTATATATGTGCCCAGGCTGACACACTGGCCCAGGGAGACTCAAACGGGGAACCTGAACACAGAAGCATCTAAAAAATGAAGGGCCCTGTTTTGGAAATTGGGGTCTAACCCCTCCATGCCTCAGTGTCCCTAGAATAATAATGGTCACACTTTACTGTCCAAGAGGAGTGAGGAAGTATGAGGCAGTGTCTGAAGGACAGCTGCTCCCAGGGTCCAGAACAGGTGCAGGAATGGAGAGCAGAGGGGAGGTGATCACAACTTGACACACAGCTGCTCCATGTGCATCTAGCTCCCCTGCACAGCCACCAGTACTCCCCAGATGGGTCTCTACCACAGGGCCCCATCCCCCTGTGAACATCCGGTACAGCCACAAAGGGCAGGTTATTAGCCAGTGTTTATAAAAGAAAGGCAGGGACTCTAGGTCTGCCCTTGCAGGCAGGTCACTTCTTGCATGGTCCCTTGCAGTAGTTTCTATGGGTACTCCTGGTGTCACCTCACAAACCAGCACAGAGGTGTAGCTCTTGGAGCCAATGTCACCCCCTACCACGGCCTTGGTCCCATACTGTGGGGGATACCCTGCTACACGGAGTTGTTCTGATTCTTTCAAGCTGGTCAGAGCCTCAGAAGCAAGTCTAGAGTGTTCAGCAGGAGGGTTGCAAGTAAAATCCCCCCCATTGTACTGGGAGCACCAAAGCTTCCTCCTCCTACTCTTGTCCTGCAGCAACCAGTGGGCGCTGAGGCAGTGATGTTGTGTTGGATATGGGGACCCTCTCCTAGGTCAGTGGCAGGAAGTGGCAATAGGTGGGGTGAAGTGGGGTGGGCGGGAGAGAAGTTTGGTTTGTTATATTGTCTTTTTATGTTCATCATTTTTGTCTGGTATTGTGAGCTCCTGTCATTTCTAATGACTTGTACCTCCTGGTTCTACTGGAGCCTCCAGGTCTGAGCATCGCTCTGCATTGCACCTAGTCATCGTGTGCAGAGGCTGTGTGCAGGCCACGGCTGCCCCCCAGCAGCTGCTGCACGTGGTGCTCTAATATAAGCATTAGGGCTTGAGAATGGGTGCTGGGGAGGACCTGGCAGGGTCAGGGGGTCACACTGGGGTCATAGATGTTTCTCCGGGGGGGGGGGG